TTTTAGTTGAGATATATTTGGATACCCCATCAGGTATCACCTCTGTAGTGAACACTACCACCAAATCACCCACTGCACATTGTGCTTCCTTCCCTCTTTGTTCTTATTTCTCCTACACCTCCTCCCATCCTTGGTGCTTCAGGCCTGTATTTAGCTTTCAAGGGTTGATTTTAAAACTTGCCTTTATCTTAGTCTTAGTTTAGTTACTTTATATGACTACATTAATGATACCATCCAGTATTTATTTTTCTTCTGACTTATTTCACTTAGCATTATCTCTTCCAGTTCCATCCATGTTGCTGCAAATGGCATGAGTTATCTTTTTTGATTGCCAAGTAATATTCCATTGTGTATATATACCACATCTTCTTGATTCACTCATCTGTTTTGTGGCTTTTAGTATGTTTCCATAATTTAGCTATAGTAAGTAGCACTGTAATAAACATGGAAGTGGAGTTTTCTTTTCAAATTAGTGTTTTTGAATTTTGGGGGTAGATGCCTAGGAGTAGAATTACTGGGTCAAATGGCAGACCCATTTAATGTTTTAAGACCTGCATGTACTAATTTCCATAAGGACTGGACCCAGTTTGCATTCCCATAGGTAGTGTAAGAGAGTTCCCTTTCCTCCACATTGTTGCCACTACTAGTTTCTGGTCTTTTCCATATGGGCCATTCTCACAGATGTGAGATACCACACTGTGGTCTTAATTTGCATTTTCCTAATGATAAATGATGGTGAACATTTTTTCCTGTGCTTGTTTATAATTTCTGTGTCTTCTTTGAAGAAGAGACTATTTCTCCTGCCCATTTTTTAATTGGATTATTTGTTTGGATTTTGCAGAATTTTATGAGTTCTTTGTATATCTTTGATATCATCTGTTGTCATATGCATGGTGTGTGAATATTTTCTCCCATCCAGTAGGTTGTTTTCTTACTTTATTTAAGATTTCTTTTACTGTGCAGAAGCATTTTAGTTTAATGTAGTCCCAGTTGTTTATGTTCAGCTTTGTTTTCTTTGCTATCGTGGATGAATCCCTAATGACTAGAGCTTATGTCATGAAATATTTTGCTTATGTTTTCTTCTTTGTATTTTATGGTTTTAGGTTTTACATACAAGTCTTTCATCCATTTTAAATTGGATTTTGTATAGGGTATGAAATAGTGGTCTAGTTTATTACTTTGCATATAGCTGTCCAGTTTTTCCAACACAATTTATTAAAGATGCTATCCTTGTTCCAGTGTATGTTCTTGGAGCCTTTGTCATAGATTAACTGTCCACATATTTGTGGGCTTATTTCTGGGCTCTCAAATCTATTCCATTGGTCTGTGTGTCTGTTCTTGTTCCAGTACCAGACTGTTTCAATTACTATGGCTTTATAATATAATTTGAGATCTGGACGTGTGACACCTCCATTCTCTTTCTCTTTTGTCAAGATTGCTTTTGCTATTCCAAGTCTTTTATGATTCATATGAATTTCAGTAGTGTTTGCCCCAGTACTTTGAAAAATGCCAATGATATTTTTATCGAGATTGCATTCAATCGGTATATTGTTTTGGATAGGGTGGCCATTTTGATGATGTTCATTCTACTAATCCATGAGCAAGGAATATTTTTTAATTTATTTTTGTCACCTTCTAGTTCTTTCAACATCTCACAGCTTTCTTTGTACAGAACTTTTACTTCCTTTGTTAGGTTTACTCCTAGGTATTTAATTTTATTTTTTGGTGTAATTGTAAATGCGATCACTTTCTTACTTTCTCCCTCTTCTAGCTTATTATTTGTATCTAGGAAGGCAACTGACTTTTGTGTGTTGATTTTATATTCTGCCACCTGTTAAACTAATTGTTTTCATTAGTTCTTCTGTGGAATCTTGAGGGTTCTGTATATTATATCATCTGCAAATAATGATAGTTTTACTTCTTTCCCAATTTGGATTCATTTTATATCTTTCTCTTACCTATAACTTCCAATACTATATTTAATAGTAGTGGTAAGAGTGGACATTCTTGCCTTATACTGGGTCTTAATGGAAAAACCTTCAGTTTTTTTTACCATCGAATCTCTCAATTTTCAAGGAAAAAATATTGTGCCAACCCCTAGATTATACACATGTTAGAGCTATAAAAATATTTTAAATATTATAAAGCCATATTTAGGAAGTAAGGGCCAAAGACAGATATCAGGAAATAAATAGAAAATATAAAGAAGAACCAAATTTTAAAGTTGAAAAATACAACACTCAAGATAAAATATTCACAGGTGAGCTCAATGGAAAAATGCAGATAATAGAGAAAATACATATAGACCAGTAGAAAACATCCAAATTAAGTGACATAGAGAATAAACTATCAAATTTTTTTTAAAAAGCTCTGACAATACAAGAAAAGTACAATCTTAATTTCTTGATGAACATAGCACAAAATTACTCAACAAAATATTAGAAAACTGAATTCAGCATATGTAAAACGAGTAAAACACCAGGATGAAGTATGGTTGGTTCAGTATTCAAACTGATCCACCAGATTAATGGTTTCAAAAAGAAAAATCATGTGGTCATATCAATCAGTGCAGAAAAATATTTGACAAAATTCAGCATCCATGTATGATAAGAATAGAACAGAACTTCCTTAAACTGATAAAGCCAGCTATTAAAAAGCTAGCATTCACGGGCCCTCCCTGGTGGCGCAGCAGGTTAAAGCAGGCACTGAAAATCTAAAGCCGCATCCGCAAGAGTTCGATCCCCACCTGCCCCGGAGGTGACCACATGGTGTGGCAGACCTCTCCTGACCCGCCCGCTGCTCCCCTCAGCAGTGTACTTCGTCGATCTGCCTGTTCTTCTCCCCACTCTGTCTCCTAGTGAAGCCTCTCACCGCCCCTGAACCTCTGGCCTGTACCCCAGGTCTATATGCGCAAATAAATAAATCTTAAAGACAAACAAACAAAAAAAACCCTAGCATTCACTACACATCTCTTAAAATGGCCAATCGTAACACAACACCAAATGCACTGGGGATGGATATATATATATATATATATATCAGTGATCCTGTTTCTCTGGAGAACCCTGACTAATGTAGGAGTCTCTCAAGGTTGCAGGATACAATGTCAACACACAAAAATCAATATAATATAAATAAAATATTTATAAATACTGGCAAGGAATAACTGTATACTTCAAAATATAATTTAAAATAGTTCCTAAAACAGTACACAGGAATAAACTGAACAAAACATGGGCAGGATTTGTACACCAAAATCCACAACATGCTGATTAGTAAGAGAAAGAAGAGCTACAGTAGTTCATGGATAGTTAGACTCTATATAATTAACATGCCATTTTCCAATAAGCAAATGAAAAGTTGCTCAACATTATAACTGTTAGGGAAATACTAATTTAAATCATGTGAGATATGACCATATACATATTAGACCCATCCATTTGCTGGTGGGAATGTAAAATGATGTAGTCACTCTGAACAAGTTGGGCAGTTTCCTACAAAGCTAGCATTCACTATACATCTCTTAAAATGGCCAATCGTAACACAAGACCAAATGCACTGGGGAGGGAGATATATATATGGTTTACAAAGGTAAGAATATAGTTTCCATAAATATTACTCAACCTCAGTTACAACAATAAAATACTTTAGACTGGGTATTTGAGAATTCCAAGAGCAAGTACTAGCTAATTTAGGTTCACAGGTGAGGGCTCTTTTCCTGGCTTCCAGATGACAACCTTCTTTTTGTTTTCACATGAATTTAGGGCTGGGCATAAATATTTAGTCTGTAATTCTATGTGATCCAGAAGTTCCACATCTGGATATTTACTGTAGGAAGTTAAGCATTTATTCACAAAACACCTGTTCATAAATATGTACAGTAACTCTATTCATAATCACTCAGATTCAGAAATAACTGAAGAATCCTTAAGCAGTGGGATGGGTAAACTCTGATACCTACAGTAACACAGTACTCAGCAATTTAGGGAAATGAACTGTTGAGACATACAGTGACAGAGATGAAACCTCACAGGCATTATGCAGAATGAAAGTTTACATACTTTGATCCTATTTACATTACTTTTTAGAAAGTCAAAGCTACTTTGATGGATTGTAAATCAGTGGTCACCATGGGGTATGTTTTAGAAAAATTGTGAGTATAGCTTAAGGGAGTTTTAGGGGATGATGGAACTATTTCGCATTATGATTTTGGTGACAGTTTCAGAAATTTATGCATGTGTTAAACATCATAAAGCTATATGCCAAAAAAGAGACATTTTACTGTATATTAAAAATTTTAAAAGAACTCCATGAAATAGAGAATAATAAATTTCAAAAGGAAAGCTAAAAATAAATTATTTGAAAGATAAAAATGATAAATTGCTAACAAATTTGACAATTTACATAAATTAGGTACATTTCTGAAAGACACAAACTCCTTACATTTCATTGACCAGAACAAAATTACATGACCATCCCTCATTGCCAGGGAGACAAAGTTAGTATCTGGCAAAGGCAAACAGAGGGTCATGGATGGCTTAGTGTGACCCACAATTTAATACCTATGACTGGGCACACTGTTGCCCCTGTAAATAAAAAGTTAGGGGGCTCACTAGGAATAAGGGGGAATACTTAATGGAGGAATTGTTAACAATGCTTGTCACAGGTTTTTAGTCACTTGCAATCAAAAGACTCCTGGTGGAGTTCGCTTACTGCTAAAATGTAATCTTTAGCCAGTGTACCTTAAGTGCCCAAAAGGAGATAATTTTGAGCTAAGAGGAAGGACGGATAAATAACTGTTACACCTAAAATATATATATATATATATATATAAGCCTAAAACTGATTATTCTTGGATGAATTCTATAAAGACCAAATTGGAAATTGTGTGCTTTTCTTCCAAAGTGAAAACATTTCCTCCATCTCAAGGTGTCTCCATTCCTTTTCAGTAAGATCACCTTTTTTAGATGCCCCTGTTGCTATTGTATTCTTCCCTGTAGCAATTGTCCCCTGACTGTAATCCTTTTCTTGTCTCTGTTCTTAACACAATTGGAATTAAAAGAAGGAATCCTCACTTCATTTTAGTCATCTTCTCTAGAAGTTAGGTAGTATCTGCCTTATTTATTTATCACTAACTAATGACTAAATGCTTTCAAGGCAAGTTGCAGAGTTTGGTAAAGAAACAAGCCCTTCTTAGATTTAGATAAATCTAAAAACAGTGAAAGCAAAAGTAGCTGAAGGTGATGTTCCGCATGAGCTTTTGCCCCAATACCTAAAGGAAAACACCCAAACAAAGAAGCCTGATGACTGTAATGTTACTTGTGGAATACCCTGTGGCTGAGGGGCTGATACCATGCTGCAGCTAAGCCTTTGTCTAGCCCGCAGCTGTACTCTAGTGGTTGGGAAGCAGAAAGTCTTACCAACTAGGGAACAAAGAATCTCATGACAGTTTCCTTGGGAGGCAGAAACCTGAGCAGCAAGTTGTCTTGCTATGTCTTGCAAATCTCTCATGTTCTCATGTTCCAGGAGAATCACCAGTTTTTTTCCAAGACTGATCAGCTGCAGAAAGCCTGGTCTAAGCAGATTTGTGCAAGGTCCTCTGGCACTGTCATGAAGCTGTTTCTTATAATCATTTGGCCCAAAAGAACATGAAGCTCTATTTTGACTAGATCTTCAATATGGCAATGATTAACATTTAGGAAAAAGCCTACATAGTGAAGCACAGGAGGATGATGTTTCAAAGTGATTATTGTTGGTCCCTGTCCTGAAAGAGTGAAGAAGAAAAAATTTCATTGCAGTTTTCATTTATTCTCTTAGAATTGAGAATAGTAAACTAGAATCCCAGGCAAAGGGTTTTATAAAATTTTGTAAATCTTAAACTTTCCCAAGCATTTCTGTTTCATGTTGCCTATTCCCTACCCCACCCCCAACAGTTTCAATTAGATATGAAAACTCTTAAAGGAAAATGACAAAACAAATGCTTTGACCTGGCCTTTATGGTGACAAAAGAGAGGAAGTTTGGGCAGAGTAAAGTGAGTTGCTGGCAGTGGTCAAGTAGGTGAGTAAAAAGACTGGATTTTTGAAGTCTCCTAAATGAAGGGAGAAGCAGAATCAGTGTTAGCATGAGTTCTGAGGAGATGAAGTCCCAGCCAGAGTGCAAAGTAGTGCTACATGGTAAAATGCTCATTTATTCTCTGATCCAAGAGAGGCAAAGGGACTTTGCAAAGGACACTTTCATGAATGAAACAGAAAGCCAAAGCCAAAGGGATGTTTCTGGAAGGCTGGACCTGCACATGTAATGTAGATCTTAAACAACAGTGCTCTTTTGTGTGGTTCTGATGTCTGACATGTGACTTAGCAAAAGCAGCAATGTGACTAGTTCACAATTCATTCATTTATTCAACAAACATTTGTTGAGTTCTTTATGTACCAGGCAGTCAGCATCCTAGGACTGGGTGGGGGTACTGTGAACACGACTGACAAAGTCCTTGCCCTTACGAGACTTACAAAAACAGACAACAGAGAAATGAATAAATGAGATCATTTCTTCTATTTCTATGAAGAGTGAGGAAGCTTTGTGGGGGAAAGACTGAAGATTTGGGCCACAGTGACCCTAAAAGCTTTAGTTAGAAAGGGGAGGGAGTGAACAGATCACAAGGGGCCTTGCAGGCCAAAGTGAATAGGTTTTTTGTCTTACTTAAAGCAGAGGATAGCCATTGAAGGCCTTTAAATACGGTAACAAAGTGTGGTTTACATTACTAAATAAAAATCACTTTGGAAGCTATTTTGTGGTATAAATTGCCAAGCCTGAAGTCAGAAGATGACCATGCACTCTGCAAATGCACTGTGAAATCACTGCAAAAGCACTTGGTTAAAAGTCTCATCTAGTTTTTCTGACATATAAATTGGTCATAATAAAGCTCCATAGCATAATCAGTAGGAGCAAAAAGTTGGAGATATGGCATGATTTCAAATTTTGCTTCCCACTTACTGATTATGAGCTCTTGGTAAGTTACCTACTTTGCCTCAGTTATCTCAACTGCGAAATGGGGGATAATAATTCCTTAGAACTACTGTGAAAATTAATGATACTTGTAAATCACAATGAGCACGCCTGGCACAAAGTAGAAAACATTAGCTTTTATGACTTTTTTCAGAGCTTTACTGAGAGGATCACATGAGACAACTGCATGTGAAAGGTCTTGTAAAACCGCAAAAACTATCCTAGTGGTAGAATTCTTCCTATTCCCTTTCTTTTAAGGTGATCACAGAACGCTGAGCTATCCAGGCGTCTGGCCAAGCAGCCTCAAAGCGGTCATTGTGGTCGGGCTATCCCTCCCCCTTGCGAGCACATTTCCATGGCAACGCGGGGCTTCTCCTCTCCCCGCCTCCAGGAGCTGGCAGACCGGAAGCAGTCCGCACCGGGGGCTTCTGGGAAACAGCTTGTGAGCGGCGTTTCTGCGTCGACCGTGGACTGCGAAGCGGCTGTGGTTCCTGAGCCGGAGGTTTGCACGGAGAACGGGTGAAGGGTGGGAGCGGGACGCTGCAGGAGAGGCTCTGTTCCGCCTGGCTGGAGCCAGCAAAGAAGCCTGGCGGGAACCTTCCGTTGGCTTCCCAGGTGGTGCGGAGCACAGGCCTGGGTCTCTGCGACCAGCCGTTGGAGGGAGGAACGGTTAGACGTATGGCTAGATCGGGCTTGCTGTACCCTCGGAGAGCCCTTCATCTCCTGTGTCCTCCGCGACCCTCGCCTCTCCCCTCCCCCATGGGCTGGTTTTGTTCTATTTCGAGGCCTTGGTGTCTCGCGGAGGGTTCTGGGATTCGTTCCGGGCGGAGGAAGGAGGGGAGATGTTGTACGACGCTGCCGGGACTTGTAGTTCCGCTGGTCGCTGGCGGAAGTGCCGTGGCCGGCTCGCTGTAGTGAACTGGTGGCCTTTGGTCTGAAGTAAGTGGGGCGAGAGGACGTCGTAGCGGGGTTGGGGCTGTGGTTTGCCGCAGTATTCTGGGGGAGTGAGGTGAGATCACCTGGAGCGAAGCTCTGGCCCCAACGCTTTAGAACCGTGGGCCTTCTCTTGCAAATTCCTGCCCTTTTCCCGGGCAGGATACCGTGTGAAAAAACATTTTTTTTATAAGGCTTGAGCCTTTGGTGAGGTAGAGTCCTGGAATAGGAACAAGCTCATCTCTTGGCTAATCCTTATGTATAAAGCCCTCCCGCACCACCCCCCCTCACACACACACCAGAGTACTTTAATAAACCTGTAGGTATTACCTGTTTGATACAGTCTTTACTAATTCCTAGTTCATCTTTGTATGATTACAGTAAGTTCTTTGAAACTGTTGGGCTTCACGTTCTGGATTCTGAATAGATACCTTATGTAGCTGCATGATTCTTTCCTGATGTGTTGTAATCAATGCCATAGACATGACTGCATATAAATACTAAGGAAAGGATCAAAAGTAGCACAAGATTTCCTTAAGGTAGAAGCTGGGGAAACTGAGTCATCCAATGTAAGGATATGGTTCTGGTGGTTATAACAAGTTATGGTGGTTATAAGAGTGCCTTTTCTTCATAAAATTTGCAGTGATTAATGCCAGTGATTATAAATTTAAATGTAGTTATGGTGGGGTGGGTGACTAAATAATATTTGCATTGTAAGGAGTAGTTAGTTTTTCCAGTATTATGTTACCTGTTATGAAGCCAATGAATATTTTCCTAAATACATTTTAAATCCGGGAAGTTCTTGAACATTTAAAAAGCATTTTTAACTTTAAAAAGAGCTTGTTAAATTTTTTTTAAAGCAGGTAATGAAAAAGCCCCCGTTTTTTCGTTTACTTGTCAGGGAACATCAGTCATGAATAATGCATGCACATAATGTGTTCAGGGATCAAATGCATTTAGAAAATACCCAACAGGCTCTCTTAATTGGAGTCTTGATTCCTAAAATAGGTTTTGTTGATTTTGTTGTAGGCGAACTTTTTCTGTAAAGGGCCATATAGCAAATATTTTCCAAGCCTTAGTAGGCACCGTTGAAACTACTCCACTGTCAGAGTGAGTCATGAACAAATTAACAGAATGATTTATGGACACATTTAATTATCTGTGTTTTTCTCATGTTGTGAAGATTTCCTTTGATTTTTTTTTTTTCAACCATGGAGAATGTGAAGCTTATTCTTAAGTACAAGCATCAGGATGAATTTGGCCTTCTATTTCTGGTGAAGGTTATTTGTTTGGGATTTTTTCATTCAATAAACAGCTATCTTCACTGCCTTTATTGTTGTGTGTTCAAATTCTTGGGATATTTGACTTTTTTTTTTTTTAAAGATTTATTTATTTATTCGTACAGAACTGGGGTACAGGCCAGAGATGTGGAGGTGACAGGATTCACCAGAGACAGAGCGGGGAGCAGAACAGGCAGATCTACGAAGTACACTGCTGAGGGGAGCAGCGGGCGGGTCAGGAGAGGTCTGCCACGCCATGAGGTCTCCTCCGGGGCAGGCGGGAATCGAACTCATGCGGAAGTGGCTTAAGGTTCTTTGTGCCGTGCGCCACCAGGGAGGGCCTGACTTTTTTTTTTTTTTTAATGCCTCAGGAGTGCTTGTGAAGGAAACGGATTATTTCCCTGACGCCTATATCCTGCTTTGATTTCTGTTTCTTCAAGACATCAGGATGTCTGCACAGTCAGTGGAAGAAGATTCAATACTTATCATCCCAACTCCAGATGAAGAGGATAAAATTCTGAGAGTGAAATTGGAAGAGGATCCTGATGGTGAAGAGGGATCAAGTATCCCCTGGAACCATCTCCCTGACCCAGAGGTTTTTCGACAGCGATTTAGGCAATTTGGATACCAGGATTCACCGGGACCCCGTGAAGCTGTGAGCCAGCTTCGAGAACTCTGCCGTCTGTGGCTAAGGCCAGAGACACACACAAAAGAACAAATATTGGAGTTGGTAGTACTGGAGCAGTTTGTTGCCATCCTACCCAAGGAGCTACAGACATGGGTTCGAGAGCATCATCCAGAGAATGGAGAGGAGGCAGTGACGGTGCTGGAGGATTTAGAGAGTGAACTAGATGACCCTGGACAACCGGTGAGCCTATTACTTGTGTTACTTAGCTAAATCAGAAGCAGGAATCAGAGCAGCAGGCAAACCTGTGAATTAATACCATTCGACTATGCTAAAATTGTGTTTATGCCTTCTCTTTTATCCTCCCCCTTACTTCCCATTATCAGTGGGTGTTTTTTTTTTTTTTTTCCCTTTAAACTCCTGCAAAATATGTTTTGTATGATGTTTGTTCAGTTCTAATTCTCAAATTTACTCTTAAAACTGAAACAGACTTAATTCTATTTCCAGGTTTCTCTCCGACGACGAAAACGGGAAGTACTAGTAGAGGAGATAGTGTCTCATGAAGAAGCTCAGGGATTACCAAATTCTGAGCTTGATGCTGTGGAAAACCAACTCAAGTGGGCATCCTGGGAGCTCCATTCGCTAAGGCACTGTGGTGAGGACCACAACTCCATGTGGGCTAGAGGGTGAAAATTGGCCTTTTGTCTACTACTTTGCTTACACCCTGAGTGGGGGGATTATGACCCTGACTTAATTGCTTTGACAGGCACACTATGGGCTCTTGATTCTTTGCTCATCACAGTTGATATTTTGATCTCAGGTCTTTTGTTCTCTTAGACACTAACATCTGTCAGTGGTTTCTTCCTTTTTACCTTTTTGTTGGAAGACCCTCCCCATTTTAGACTGGTAACCTTACTCCAAGCCAGCATCTACCTCCAGACCACGTTCTCTGTTTTGCATGTTATTTGCCATCTGTTTCACATTGTCCTGCCTAATCTTATTGTTAGAGTAAATTTACCTGATGCCTCTTCATAGTCTTTCTGAATTTTTAGATATTTCTGGTTTTTGTTCCATCTTTTTTTTTACTTCTCCCCTCACCCCCCCAGCTTCTTTTATACAGATGATTCTTGGGTAAAACTCAACCTTTTCTAAAGTATTTAAAAATAAACTCCCTAGTTATAATATTTTACATACATAAAAATTAAAAAATTCTTAATTGTAGTATTCACTTAAACTTGTCATTCTCAACATATTAGCAATCGATGCCATATATTTACTTGTGTACTTTGCTATATAACTCAGTATGTTCCTAAAATAGCTCTACTTTTTCTTTTATATTTATGTAAGTTACAATAAAATTTCTTTGAGAATTGCTTTGGGCATTGTTCCTTCAGGTAGTTGGAGATAATGCTGGTGTGCCATGGGATGACGTCTGACTAAGCAGGTTTTTCTTTCCATTAGAGAGGTAGTAAATCAAAACTTTTAGCTTGAAATTGAAATCTGAGAATGTACAATTTTACATTTTCTCACAGGATAGTCTTCTATACAATAGTTTTTGAACCACTGTTCATTGTCTTTAGAGGTGAAATTTCTTGAGTGGAAAACTTGCCCCTTGCCGAATTTTAGAATAATTTTCATCTAATTTTAAATAGCCTCATTTAGGCAGTGTAGTGTTACTACACTTGGGAAGTCTTTCTGTGCTGTTCATCGCCACTTAACCTTCACACCGATTCTCTTCTCTGCTCTTTCAGTCTCTAAGCCTCCCTAGTCTCCTCAAATCCTTCAGTCTCTGTACCCTCCTTTCATGACTTTTTCCTTTTCTTGATCATTTATTACTAAGGTTGTTCATTGTTTTCCACTTTCTTAGTGCTGCTGCTTGTCTTTTTTACTCTTCAAGACTTGAGGTTTTAGGAAATTCTTAAATTAGACTTGCTCATACCTCTACCTGCATGTTGGTAATTCAAGGTGTTTTTGTCTATGAGACACTTCTGAGGCTTAGAAATAACAACTCATCTGAAGTATTGGACAAATAACAAGCTTCTCACTGGAAAACTTTAATTCTCTGAGGTGTATTGAATTTTAAATGGCCAGGTCCTGAGTTGATGCAGGATGCTGTAGGTTGTCTTTAGCCCCTAGTCAGGAGACTGTGTTCTGCTTTCAGTCTAATCTTTCTATGGTTTGCCTTGTTCTGTTAACTTCAGAAGTAGTAATTTTCTTACAGATTGCTTATTTTTCCCATCATTGTATCTTGATAGAGTTTTTCTTTTACAAAGCAAAAGAATTATAATTTCCTAAGGGCCAGTATTCTTTTCACAAAGATTCATCGCTTGGTAATGGTTATAGAACCTTCAGTCTTTCTCCCCTGTGTTTTCTGATTACTGTTGTATAGCCTACTCACAGTAGTACTTATTTACATAGAACCTTATAATCCCATGTTATGGTATGTCATTACTTTATTAGCCTCAATCAGCTATTTCACTTTCTCTTTTGATAGTAAACAACTTTAACACCAGTTTTCAGTGTGTTTTTTCTAGATGTAAGCAAGCTGTTTGGTTTTTTTTTTAAATTTTTCTTCAGATTCTTTTCTCCCAGGGTGGGAAACGAGTGATAATTACATTTTCTGTTTATTTCAGATGATGATGCTAGGACTGAAAATGGAGCACTAGCTCCAAAGCAGGAAATTCCTTCAGCAGTAGAATCTCACGAAGTTCCTGGCACTCTGAATATAGATGTTCCTCAAATTTTTAAGTATGGAGAAGCCTGTTTCCCTAAGGGCAGGTTTGAAAGAAAAAGAAATCCTTCTCGAAAGAAACAACATATATGTGATGAATGTGGAAAACACTTCAGTCAGGGCTCAGCTCTTATTCTTCATCAAAGAATCCACAGTGGGGAGAAACCCTATGGATGTGTTGAATGTGGGAAAGCATTCAGCAGAAGTTCCATCCTTGTGCAACACCAGAGAGTCCATACTGGAGAAAAACCTTACAAATGTCTTGAATGTGGAAAAGCCTTTAGCCAGAATTCTGGGCTTATTAATCATCAGAGAATCCATACTGGGGAGAAACCTTATGAATGTGTTCAGTGTGGGAAATCCTATAGTCAAAGCTCAAATCTTTTTAGACATCAGCGAAGACACAATGCTGACAAACTTCTGAATGTTGTGAAAGTTTAAGAAATTTAAAAAAAAATCAGCACTCAGGTCTTTTTCTTCAGAAATGAAGACAAAATTAAAAACAAATGATTCATAATAGTTTTATTTCCCTATAGACTGCTAGAAAATCCACTGGGAAATGTAGAAAATTGTTATCCACCATTATTACTTTATCTTGAAAGAAATGGTGTCATACCTGCCTAGAAACTGAAAATTTAAACTTAATTCAGGTGTTAATGCCTAAATCTTCCATGTGATATTTATATTCTTATTTTTCCAAATAATGAACTACTTTATTTGTCCCTTTCTTAAAAGTTTCCCCTTTTAGACAGATACATTATTTCTGTGTTGATCATTGAAGTATTTTTTTTTGCAAGGATACATTCCCTTCTACCTTAAAAGACAGACAACATTAGGAATTAGAAAGTCAGAAAACTGAAATTATTTCTTCAAAATGTACCCTTTTGTTTCTTTTTACCTAACTTGAATATGCATTTCAGAAAAATAGAAGATAAAGGATGACTAAAAGCCTCAAAGTAAAATGAACCTTAAAACTCAGATGTATGGTGATTAAACCGCAAAAGGTGAATGGGAATATTTTGATCCAAGAATTAAAGTATGTCAAGAATTTACCTAGCTTAATTATCTGCCTGCAAGAAAATTCAAAAACACTCATCTAATTTGGAGGCATCTCACTAGTGAAAATAATGTTTTCTCTAACATTAGAAAATGTACTACCAGTTATGAAATTATAGAAGCAGAAATTGATATGAGGGAAGAATTTATACTGAATGGCAGTGATAAAGGGCAAAAGTAAAGCAATGGTCTGTTTTGGCTTTTAGAAAACAAAAGACTTGATCTAATTCTATTATTTCATCTTCATTTTTGTTAAGGACAGAAAGCTGACAGGTGGGCAAAACAGGTTTGTTATTTTATTCTCTTGGTACAAAAGGGTTGAACACCAGGCTAACAGTAATCATGCATTTAATATAAAACACTTTTATACCGACAAGGCACTGTGCTAGGTACTGTAACTCTACCGCAAGTAGGTAGGTATCTCTTCCACTGTAAATCATTGGGGGTTTGGTATAAAGCTAATTTCATGTGAGTTAGCCTCCTCCCCTTGTCTGAGCAGTCCTGGGAGAGGTCATCTCTGAAATTCCCAGAGCCATAATTCTTCTGCCAGGGTGTTGATTTGGGGGGCGGTGGGGAGTGGTGAAGAAAGACTCAGTTATACAGTTCACAGAGCTAGCCAGCCAGCTCACTAGGATTCTGCGGAGGTGAGTCTAAGATAGTCTTTACCACACTTTGGAGGTTTGTGGGTCTTTTACAAAAACTAATCAATCTTTAATAGCATTGAAGTTATAGTTAACATGTTAAGTTAAATGAATTGTTCTATTTAAAAAAATAAAGAACTTGGTTATTAACAACTAGTTTATTAACTGAGAATTGATTGAACTATTTTTTGATTTTCAGTCTTAACACATTTTTTAAATGTATAAAAGTAATACGTTGTAGTAGTAGGATTATATACTCTTTGGCTGAGAATCTCAAGTACTGTTGTTCTACTGTTTAGTGGAAAACTCTGGAAGCTAAAATAATGACTATGAGGAAAACTTTAATAGTGGGTGTCATGTGTGGAAGATGATCCATATAAATATTTCGTGGTTCCAGAGATTTGGTTACATCAGGTGTTTGGATCAAATTTTAAAAAATGGAAGGTGAGCTTTGCATGAGCCTGTTAAAAAGCATAGTAAGAAATGCAAGGCCAGTGGGTGGAGAAGTAAGGCAGAATGGAGCTTGTTTATAGATTTTTCTGATAATTATAAGAAATGTGCTTTATAGATTAAGATTTATTGAAGTATAAATATGTAGTAATGTTATAATGTATTTTTAAGTTATACAAGAAAATGTAGGGACTTTTGTTGGGGTCTTTTCTCTTTGTGGCTGAGAGGCAACAAGTCAATGTCCAATAAAGCTATAAACTCCTCTGTTCTAATATAAAATGATCTTGAGTTGATTTATTTATAACTGGTTTCTTTCCAAGTAGGTTTTGAGATGGCATATTTGAAATACTACTGGTATGACTGAATTCTTGTATCAGAGTAGGTAAGAAGTCAGCAACCTCTTAGAATTCCATGCTTTTTTAGTTCTTGCATATTTCCTGTATACAAAGAAGCTTCCCTGTGTTTTATTTATCATAAATGCCAAAGATGTTTGGTATAATGTGACAGCTTAGAAAAAGTAGCGTTAGAGTTGGCGAATGTGTGAATCTTGCCAGCTCTGATGCTTTGCATTGTTTAGGAAAAAATTTGAAGCTAAGGTAGGCTCTGTGGGGAAAATGGACTGGGCCCAAAAAGACTGGATGATGGACATGGGAAAAAGATACTGGTCTATGTACTAGCTGTTACTGGTTAGGATAAATCTTCATTGTCCCCATTAGAAAAATTGATTTAAAGTAAGTGTTCAGTGATCTATGATTTATTCCAGACTTTTATTTAAGTCCACACAGACAATCAGCAGTTCTGGGAGGTGCCTAGTTTGATGAAGTGGTGACCTGGCAGGTTCCGGGCAGTGACCTCTGGTTAGTAAAAAGAGCAGTTGTCACTAATGATTAAGCATGTACACTGCTGATATCACCCCAGTAGCCATTGAGTGTTTGCTTTTTACTGCTAAATATTCTCTATGTTTTCTCGGAGGCTAATAACACATTTACACCCAGTTGGCTCTTGATCATTTAGCAATACATTTCTCACATTTATGTAAATTGAAGGGAAGGTTATATGTACTGAAATAATCTGCATGTCAGACATTGAATTAGACACTAGGCCTATCCCACTTAGATTTGTAGACTAGGAGAGTAAGATTCAGAGATCGTGTGACTTGCATGTGGTCAATTAGTGCTGAAACTCAAATCTAGTTCTGTGAACTCCAGGGACATTTTTTTTTTCTCACTGTACCATGAAGGATAGCAGCTATAACCTTGATCAATAAACTTTATGCTTTTATTTTTTATGGTCAACAAATGTGGAAACTATTAAACATGCTTGTTGGGATTTTTCTACAGTACAGAAATGCAAAATGAAAAGGCATTCTCACAGTCTTAAATCAGAAGTAGACATACATATATTTAAGCAAAAGTGTGTTAATAGCTAACACCATGGTCATTGAACATAGGCACTGTTTGAAGTGCTTTACTAAGGACTAAATCCTCACAATGACCATATGAGATAGGTACATATCCCCACTTTACATGTAATAAAGGGAAACAACAACTTCACATTTTGTATGTAGTCGTATATACTTATCTTTTGTTTTTTATAGTTTCATACTATTCTATTGCATGATTATTTAGCCAGTTCCTTATTGGTGATAACTAGGTTCTTTACAGTTCATTATTGATAAAGTAGTTGATATCCTTCTGCATATATTTTGCTGCCTACGTGGGTATTTCCATAGGGTAAATAAGCTAGATGTGGATTTATTGGGTCAGAGAATGAACATTTAGCATTTTTAAATACCACCAAAAGAGTATATACCAACTTACAGTTCTATCAGTAGTAAGAGTGCCTGCCTACAGCCCTACCAATTCTGGATCCTTAAATATTTTTTTCTCATAGACAAAAATTATCTCTTAGTAAGGAGGAACATGTTTGACCATTTGTATTTTCTCTTGTGAAATGCCCACCCATTTTTTAATTATGAAAGTATAAATACCTTTTCATTGTGCAAAACTCAGATTATACATAAGTATAAGAGCAAAGTGACTCTTTTCTTTAGCACTTCCACTTAAACATTCCACTACCCAGAGTTCAGTATCTATCCTTCTAGTCCCCTTTCTGTACATTTCATGCATCTTAATACAGGGTGTTTTTTTTGTTGTTTGTTTGTTTTTTTTTTTGTTTTTTTTTTTGTCTTGTAAGTATCTTAAAATCATTAAATTGCTTTAGTGGTAAAATAGGATTCAATACTATGACAATACCATTCCCTTATTTTTCTCTTTAGTACATTGCTAAGTAGACATCTTTTTCATGTATCTTTGTGCATGTGTGTGACTATTCTTTAGGATGGAGTAGTTTAAGTGGGTTGTTGGGTCAAATGGTTTGCTTTCTTACAGACCCACCTTCCCATAGGCCTTTATGTTTTCACCAACTGTAAGGAAAGTGTTTGTTTCCCTATATAGCCTTACCTACACTTGATAGTTTTATCTGATGGGCGAAAAAAAAAAACCAAAACATCCTTTGCATTTCCCTCATTAATGGTGAAGTTGAGGTTATTTTCATGTTAATTGACCGTTTATATTTTGCTGTGTATTGTATGTTCTTATCCTTTACCTGCTTTTCTATTGGGTTATATGTGGATATGTGTTCTTTTGTTTAGCATCTCTTTCCCTATCTTCTGGTGACAACCTTTATTTATTGTGGGGAACCCATTTGCTCTGGCTTAGTGAATACCTCACCAGGCCCAGCCTTCCTGAGTCCCGCAGCACCCTAGCTGCAGCAATTAAAAAATGGGCATGTAACTCAAGTCAGGCTAAAGAACCCTCAACAGAACTTCTGCTGGAACTCTTGGAAAGAAAGCTCTACCTACGGAGATCCCAAGAATTAAGGACTGTGTAAGCCTGACTTTGTACTTTGTGGAGAGTCTGAAGAGAAACTCAGACTAGCAGAAACAAAAGAGAACTAAGTTCAGATGTCATTTTTCTGGAGGCCCTAGATCCAGCTGTGCCTAATGCCTGCCCTACCTCTGGACTTTAAAAGTTTCGTGAGCCAATAAAGTCCCTTTCTTGTTTAAGATAGTTGAATTGGGTTTCTGTCCTGATTAATATAGGTTATTTGTATTTTCTTATGATTTGTAAAACACTTTGTAATTTTAAATTCTAGACATATACTTTATGCACTATACAGATAAATAAAATTAGTATGGCCTTCCATGATTTGGCCTCTGTCAACCTCTGCCATTTTGTTACTTCTGTATGTCACACACCACACATGTTTTGTATTCCAACAATAACT